CTTTAGTGCAGCTTGGCTTCGGGTAAATGGACGGCTATCATTAGTTAGGAAGCTGGGTTTCATCTGGGTGCCTGGTTGGGGTGTGTTTGAGCTGGAGGTATCAGGGGGTAGTATATATATATATAGGTATCAGTATATATATATAAAAACAATAGGACAGGGACGGTAGGCACGTTGGGGCACTTATGCACATCCACTATTTCCGCTACCGGTTCTCCAGAATTTGTCAGAACTGTCTGAATACCATCTCTGGATTGATCCAAAGACTACTTTTATTCTTACCTAAATCATTTTACAAATAAGATAGGCCAAAAGATTATCCTTACCTGCTCAAGGAATTGCTGTCTGGCACATGGTACAAGAAAATATTTCCTCTCTTGCTATTAGCCCATTCCTTTGCCATATCTATAGTTGGGCAAATGATGAAGTAGTCTCTAAAAACAGTAAAGAAAACATCCTTACAATCTGGAAACAATTAACTTTCAACCACAAATAGATCTTAAGTCTCTGCCTTTCTGCTGTAACTCCATATCCACATGCTCCAGATTAACCCAAAACAAGAAGCTTTAAATTCTCCAAAATTTTCCATTAGGTAGGGAGGTAGAACAACCAAGAGAAGGGGAAAGGAACATAAAAGTCCATACATTTGAGTCAAACATTATAGGTTTCCAAAATGGAAATTACAGTTTGGATGAATGACTTCATTTTGTCAGCTGCCCAGAACCACAAACCCAGGTGGTTCTGCTTCATCAGTAAACCATCTTTCCAATCAGCCTCCATGTTCCCAGTGTCTTTCTCCCTGCTTGGAACTGAACCAGAGGGATATTTCTTCCCACATCAGTTTATGCCTACAGTTGGGATCATTATGTCCATCAATAAGCAAGGTTCTCATGAAGTGAGTTGTGGCCTAGTTTTATGACTTTTTATGCTGTGGTCATTAAGTGAATCACATTGTCATAAAAGCAAATCCAACTTTCCCCACTTTTTTGTCAAAGATTGCCTGGGAAGGTCACAAACAACCATCATGTGACTTCAGGCCAAGCATCCAAATTTTGATCAAGTGACTGCTTTTTTCAGCACCCGCATAACTTCAAATGTTCTCTAGACAAATGGCCATATACAGCGTACTTCTCTAAGCACATGGAACCCAACATGCAATGCATGTGACCTACGAAGAACCAGGTTGGCATAAGATGCTTCTAGATGTTGTTGAGGATTACCTATATAGGAAACTCATACTGTATTTGGTAACTGTGACAAGATTATTGTACACACAAAAGTGGAAGAATAAAGAATTAGAAGAATGGATTATAACATTCAAGGAGCTTGAGATAGCAAAATTGACCAGCTTGATTAGATAACAAAAACGATAAAATATTTTTTTTAGAGAAAACTGGGAGCTTTATATGGACTTTTAGTTGAAAGAAGAAAAGACTGAACAAATTATTTATGGATTTGGGGACTAAAAAGGAGAAAGAGTAAGAGCACAGTTACAGTACTTGACAAAAAATGGCAGAAGTCATAATTCTCCCTTTTCCCCCCTGTTTTCCAATTTTCTCTTCTTTTTTTCTTTTTTAAAAATCATTTTCTTATACTGAAAATATTCTTTTAAAAAAGCCTGGTGCAGCCATATGAGTTATGCATGTTCCATTAGGAATACAATATAAAATAATACATTAAAATAATTGTATAAAGTTTTCTCTTTTCCATGTTTTAGCCCTCTTTTACGCCTGTAGTTGGTTGCTTATAATTCCAATTTCAGCCATCTTTCCGCCTTTAGCAAACTTAAGGCTGTGTTTATACATACGTTTGTTTCTGATGCTGATCTGTTGGAGGTGGGACAGGAGTTGTTTGTAAAAATAATGAAGGCGGGATACAAATAAATAAAATAAATAAATTAAATTATTGGAATGGCTGAAGGGGAACTCTAAAATAACACCTGCAGTTGTATCTTACGCCTTCTCTGCTTAAAAGGGGGAAAAAATTCATCGCAAGGAATGAACAAGAATCGATATCCTGAGGAGCAGATGGAAGTTGGTTTCTTATTTTTAGTCCAATGTGGTAAAGCTGCCAAATTTAAAATGTGAAGAAATGACATATGAGGAGCCAAAACAAAAAATTTCAACTGCAAAAGACCGTATTTGAGGGTTACGTCTCTCCTGCTCAAAATACCTTTCTTGAATTCATTGGAAGGTCTGCAGCCCGTAATTTAAAACTGAACTCAACTTGATATATTTATCCAAGCATTTGGATTTGGGTTGCTTCTCTTTTCTGTCCATGTACACCTCTGCAGGGTGCATCAAAATTAGCATCTCGTACATGAGGCGCTATGGAGCTTATGTTCATCCTGACATCCAAGTGCGATAAGCCACAATTTTTATAAACATGTGTGCAACTAGAACTTACCGTCTCCTGGTTTCTAAGCCAGCACCTTAACCATTACACTAAAGATTTGGGGACTATATCCTAGAAGTCACAATTGCTAGCCAGAATAGTGAGGCACAATAACCCTTTACTAAACCCTTGTTTATATATATGGCTTCTACAGAGTAATGTCTTGTTCTAAGAAATCATCTCTTGCTTGTCCTTTTTCCCCATGCCTTCTTTCCATGATTTCTCTCCAACCTTAACAAAAAAAAGGGAGAAACTTACCGAGTGGCATTTTCTAATGCTCTGGAAAAGGAAGCATACTCAGTGGATGAATGTTCTAGGGAATAAAACCACGTAGCTGCATCTTGGATGAGAAGGTTGGACTCTTCACCGCCCAAAGAGTTTTGGAGGGCTTGATAAAAAGCGGTTTTGCTATTGGCCCGGCCTTGTCTTTCTTCAAAACGCTAATTAAAGAGGAAAAGAACAGGCAGAAGAATTCAGAAAGCCACTTCACACTCAGAAATGGTTGTTGGCATTTCCACAAAAAAATGTACGCATTCAAGCAATTACATGTTGATCATTGCTGTACAGTTGCACTTCCAATTCTGTTTTACATACTATCTTTTTATCCATTTCAAATCTTTCTGATAACTATAAATACCTGTAAGTATATTTTGTGCGTGTAAGAGCACTACTGTACTATCGGTGCTCAGAATTCAAGAAGACGTCTCAAAGCTGAAAAGATCCTGATCTAGCACAGAAACTCAGGTAAGACGTTCTAGGAATCACACCTGGCGCATGAATCATTCAGAAATCCAGCCAGCAACAAAGAAACCTTTTTCCAGTTTTACTCTTAGTGGAAGCCAAAACTATTTTAAGGAGATTTTCCCTATCCATTTAAGTGTGTGTGTGTGTGTGTGTGTGTGTGTGTGTGTGTGTGTTGGGATTCAATTTTTTTTACCACCAGTTCTATGGGCGTGGCTTGGTGGGCATGGTGTGGCTTGGTGGGTGTGGCAGGGGAAGGATACTGCAAAATATCCATTCTCTCTCCACCCCACTAACCTGCTTTCCAGCTCTGTTCTCCTGTGCAATGCAACAAAAGAAGACTCAGCCAGTCAGCTGGGACTTGGGAGGCAGAGAATAGATGGGGGTGGGGCCAGTCAGAGGTGGGATTCCGAACTACTCAAAATTTCCACTATCGGTTCTCCAGAACTGGTCAGAACCTGCTGAGTACCATCTCTGGTGTGTGTGTCTGTGTGTGTGTGTGTGTGTATATATATTTGCATATGTATGTACACATGCACATCCCACACAACCCCCCTTCTCTTTTCAAAGACTATATTTCTTCTAGCCCCAGATTATATTTCCCACCCTTGCATTGGCTACAGAATAATTTCCTGAAAAACTGGGAATCTAAGAATTCCACATGGACCCTGCTGCTGATGGTTATTGGCTTAAAAACTCAGTTTGAATAATCCTTTTTCCAAATCGTTTCAGACTTGACAACTAATAATACATTTAAAAAAAAAATAGTGTTGGCCTAACTCAGATTTTTTTTTTAAGGTTCTGGTTTTTACACTAAAAATGATTATGGACACGTAGGCCCAGGTTCCGCAATTGATCTCTTGAGGTCAATTTGAACTCTATAGGTTGATGATGGACTATTAATACAGCTAGTCCTTGGCTTAAAGGTAAAAGTAAAGGTTCCCCTCGCACATACATGCTAGTCGTTTCTGACTCTAGGGGGAGGTGCTCATCTTCGTTACAAAGCCAAAGAGCCAGTGTTGTCCTAAAATGTCTCCGTGGTCATGTGGCCGGCATGACTAAACGCCTTAAGGTGCACAGAACGCTGTTACCTTCCCACCGAAGTGATCTCTATTTTTCTACTTGCATTTTTACATGCTTTCAAACTGCTAGGTTGGCAGAAGCTGGGAGAAGTAACATGAGCTCACTCCGTTAGGCAGCACTAGGGATTCGAACCGTCGAACTGCCGACCTTTCTGATCGACAAGCTCAGCATCTTAGCCACTGAGCCACCGCATCCCTCAGTCCTTGATTTACAACAGTTCATTTAGTGATCTTTTAGAGTCACTGAAAAAAAGTGACTTATGAACATTTTTCACAGTTATGACCATTGTAGTAGCATCATGGTCACATAATCCAAATTCAAATGCTTGGCAACTGGTCCGTATTTATCACGGTTGAAGTATCCCGGGGTCATACGATCACCTTTTGGGAACTTCTGACGAGCAAAGTCAATGGGGAAGCCAGATTCACTTAACAACCATGTTATTAACTTAACAACTGCAGTGATTCACTTAGCAACTGTGGCAAGAAAGGTCATAAAATGAGACAAAATTAACTTAACAATTGTCTTGCTTAGCAACAGAAATGTTGGGCTAAATTGTGTTCATAAGTCAAGGACTACTTATTGGTTGGTTGGTTGGTTTATTATATTTATATGCTGTCCATCCTGCGCAGCTAATAATATTATAAATATATGCATACAATAGAATGAAATTATCTTTTTTTAGCTTCTTTTCTCTCGACTGGCCCATACCCAGTTCCTGCAACCGTTCTTCATGTGTTTTTGTCTCCAGGCCTTTAATCATCTTACTTGCTCTTCTTTGCACTTTTCCCAAAGTCTCAACCTCTTTTTTTGTAATGTGATGACCAGAACTGGATGCAGTATTCCAGGTGTGGCCATACTGGAAAAGTGCATCCAGTTTTGGTCGACTTACACCAGAATTTTATTTATTGGTTTCTTTGTTTGTTCCATTTCCATGGCTGCCCATCTCAGGCAGTGGCTCTGAGTGACTTACAAATTCAGAATTTTGCTCGTTAAACAAGGCAGCTATTACGTGAGTCGAACTGCTAATGCTGGTTCCTGCCACTGGTACTGTCAGCAAAATATGTACTGTTTCATCATATATGCGAGTATACATAAGGGAGGCCCCAGATTTTCTGTTGTGAGTCAAATTATCTCTATAATTGCAGCTGTGGTTACACATCAGTTTCAGGCCTGGCATTTTGGATTACCTTAATTGCCTTTGCACGACTGATCAGCCCATCTTGTTGAGCACTTCCAACGAGTAGGTCCAACTTTGAAAGTCGGGAACGTTGCAAAGCAGCTGGAAAAGGTTCCTGCACGTAGGAACCATCAACAACTGGACCCCAATATTGGAATGGGCCACTTATGGCGAGGAGCTGCATAAAGAATCATGAAAAGATTAGCATAGGAGTGGAAAAAAACGTGGAGTAAACCCTATGAATGCCGGAATGGAGTAAGAAGTGGGACAGAAAGCATCAATGGTCACTGGTAATCGAGAAGAAAGAAAACACAATTATAATCTTACTAGTAACTTTTACTAGAGGCAGACAAACTAGGGAATTGCTTGTGCAAATCACGAATGTGTATTAATAGTTTATGCTTAGTAGCACCTGCCACAGTTCAAAAACAGCTGAACCTACAAGTTCCTTTGTTCTTCAGTACCCGCGTATAGGCCTAAATAAATCATCAGTGCGCCAAGAAAGTAATTTTTGATAAAAAGAATGGCTTTCCTTCATTCTCAGTTGCTGTTCAGGGGTGTTACACACAGACACACACACACACACCTTATCAGCTAGTATCATATCAACGTTTTTGATCATTTGTATCTTTCTAATCCATCTTCAGTGGCGTAAGTATTGTGTAATTGGATTGTTCAGGTCTGAACTTCTATAATAAATAACAATCCTAAGGATTAAAGAGACATCACAGTTGCTCCTTCCTTCTTTAGAAAAACACTCCTGTCTTCTAAACCAATGTTTCTCAACCATGGCAATTTTAAGAGGTATGGACTTCAATTCCCAGAATTCTCCAGCCAGCGATGCTCAAGGGATATTTATACCAAAGTACATGATCCCAGGATGAACTAAATAAATTGTAACCTGAATGGTTTTCTTTTACACAAAGGCAGAAAGAACGGAAGGAAGGAAGGAAGGAAGGAAGGAAGGAAGGAAGGAAGGAAGGAAGGAAGGAAAAAGGGAGGGAGAAAAAAGAAAGAAAGAAAGAAGGGAGGGGGGAGAGAGAAGAAAGAAGGAAGGAAGGAAAGAAAAAGAAAGGAAGAGAGAGAAAAGAAAGGAAAGAAGGAAGGAAGAAGGGAAGACAGAAAGAAAAAGGAGGAAGGGAGAGAGAGAAAAAAGAAAGAAAGATGGAAGGAAGGAAAGAAAAAGAAAGGAAGGGAGAGAAAAAGAAAAAAGGAAGGAAGGAAAGGAGGAAGGAAGAAGGGAAGGAGGAAAGGAGGGAGGGAGGGAAGGAGGAAAGGAGGGAGGAAGGAAGGAAGGAAGGAAGGAAGGAAGGAAGGAAGGAAGGAAGGAAGGAAGGAAGGAAGGAAGGAAGGAAGGAAGGAAAAACAATTTAATATTCCTTTCCTTTACCCATTTAGATCTTTGTCTAACATTCAACCAGAAGCTGCCTCCCATTATCCAGTGCCCTCCTCTCTGTTCAAAGGGGTTCAAGGGAGCTCTTATGACTACAAGGAGCGACACTCTGGCATGTGCACAGTGGGGCATATATGAAAGAAATATTTCTCCCCCTTTTCTCATTTTCTCCTGGAGACAGCTGAAATAACTTTGTCAAAAAATATGAATTGCTGGCTTTCAGAGGGCCTGTGGACCTACAGAACTTGCAAAATCTCGGTTTCATTTCCCATTCTCATTTGCTGGTTGGGGTTTGAGGCTGCGCACAGTTTTCAGGCCACGGACAGTTCACAACGAATTCATCAAATGTACAGTGCTAGTTTTATTTATTTTTTTGTTCCACTTCCTTCTGAGCCAAAAGAGATTCCTCTTTCAAGAAGACATTCATCCCACATACCAGATGGCCTTTTTTCCCCTACCCTACTAGCTTTGCACACCCATGCATTTAAACCGTGCCCGCCCCCCCCACAAATCAACGCACCTTGGTTTGTGCATCGTTAAGTGTCTTGGCAGGCAACTGGCGAAGGCACGAGACCATTTCAGAGCTGCTGGTTGATGGGCAGCCCACTTCGCGAGCCAAAATGGCAGCTTGGGATTGTGCTTTCTCTTTGCTGAGTGTTATCGCTGGAGAGAAAGCAGAACCTCCCTAAGGGAGAAAAAAAAAGAAGGGAGAATTAAGTTGGCGGTGGATCTGTGTATATCTTGAAGGCATGCTTTTAAGGGACATAAAAAAAAACCTAGAAAGGAAGGAAGAAAACACTCAAGGGAGTCCAGCAATTTTATTTCATATCATTCACAGGCCAGAAGCATTAAAATATAAAGATAAAGGTAAAAGGTTCCCCTCGCACATACGTGCTAGTCGTTTCCGGCTCTGGGGGGCGGTGCTCCTCTCCGTTACAAAGCTGAAGAGCCAGCACTGTCCAAATACGTCTCCGTGATCATGTGGCCAGCATGACTAAACACCGAAGGCGCACGGAATGCTGTTACCTTCCCACCAAAGTGGTCCCTATTTTTCTTTTCTTTTTTTTTTTGAAAATTTTATTGATTTTTAAAAACAAACATAAACAAACAAAACATAGAACATAAAAACATAAAACATCTTTTTTGAAAGCAGCCTGACCCCAGGTTACATCTCTTCGTGCAGACACAAATTTAAATTCATGCTCATTTTTATATTCCATTCCATATCTTATTACCATTCTACGTTTTCTATATAACTTCTCTCCTCTTTCAACTTTCTTAATGTTATTTTATTTATTTCATCTCAATTCAAATCATCATACTTATATTCTTTGTCTGTCCTGTTTCAGCTGTCTAGTATCTTTTCTCATTAAGCAAAATTTCTCCTGTGATCACTGATTGGAGTATGACGCCTTTATATCTTTCCCCTAAAATTATAACACTTAATATAATACATAACTTCCATTCGGATTCTGCTTGGTACATTCTAAAACTATACAATGTATTTTAAAAAAAGAAAAAATATAAATATATAACATAATTAAAACAACAATCCATACCAATTCAATTCTATCATTAATATTAATATTCATTTAAATCTTGAACATTTTACACATTACTTTTCAAATAAGTATCATACTTCTATGGAAACACTTATAAACTTTCCATAATTACTTCCCTCCCACTTCACTTATATTTTATAAAACGTTGAGTAGTTAAAATGTTCCCATTCCTTCCTAGTTCAATTCTCTCATTTATTTCATTTCATTTATTTTGTTCACAAAAGTTTCACTAAATTACACTAACTATTTTATTCCACTTTTTAATCATATGTTGTTTCCAATTTTCTAACATTATTTCTATTACAAATATAACAATACAATCTTATGTACCTTTACATAATCCCTTTTTCAGTTAAATTTTCACCCATTATCTCTGAATAAATCCTGTTTCTTTACATCTTGCTCCAGCCCTTTGTAACTTCTCTTCCCTTCCTTCTTGCCTTTCTTCTCTCTCCCCTTTTTACCCCCTGTCTCTCCACCTCCATTTCCCTCTTCTGTATTCCCCTTTTCTGTTGCTTTCCAACATTATATCCCCTTTTCACATTATTTTTCCCTTTTTTGGCTGTTTTTTTAGGTCTTAAATTCTCCATTCTCTTTCCCCCTTTTCCCTTTTCTTCCCCAGATAGAATTACTTGTTCATTAAAAATGGCTTCTTCTTTGTCCCAATCTTCTTGTTGCGCAGTCTTTTCTTGTTGTTTCTTGTAAACACCAATCACCATTTCTAAGAATTGAAAAATGGAACCAAAGGAGCCCTTCCCTTCTTGTTCCTCTTCTTTATATTTTTTAAATTCCATTTTCAGTTCATTCAGTTCATCCAGAGGTAATGCCATTGTAGAGTTGTTGTTTTTTAAACAACCACCCAATTGTTTTTAGTCGTTCAAATATGATTTCCAAAAGTCCCAAAGTCACCAAACAATCCGAATACACACAAGCTGTTTCTTTTAACACTTTCTTCTTTTTTCACTTTCTCTTCTTGGGGTTACTATTTAGTTGCAAAATTCCAGTTAAAATGTATCCTTTAGAAGTCTTGTTAAGATTTATTTTTAAATTATTTTGAATTCCAAGCAGTCTCCTCCTTCCAAGTCCTGCCCTTATTCTTTTCCTCTCCCTTCCCACTTATAGCAAAAAAAGGATTTTTTAGTGCTCAGAAATCTTTATTGTCCTTTTGGCATTTAATTATATTTCCAGTTTAATTACCTGTTGATGCCAAAGCGGATTTTTCCGATTTCTTTATTCAGATCTTCTCGTTGTCAGCATGAGGAAGAAGAGTGAAGAAAAAAAACTTTTCCTTTTCACTTTTGTTCGCTGATTCCGACTCTTCTTTGGGAGCAATGTATCTTTTGCAAAATTTAAATTCCAGTTGTTAGTTGTTATTTTTTGTCCCGGTCAGCCAAAAACTTTCACTTCTTAACTTCCTCCTGTACTTTCTTTTCTGGCTGAGTGCTTCTTTGAGGCGGCCATTTCTGACCGCCGCTCTTACCGCCTTCGGGAAAGGGAGTTTAGCCAGCTGAGGAGGAGAGGTGTGGCTCCCCTCGACCCTGCTGGGTCTCTCCGTCTTCACCACCTCTATGGGGTGGCTTAGCCCCAAAGCCTGCTGGCTCGGGGTGCTCCAGTGACAAGCCCAGGCAGAAACTGCGCACAATTGCGGATTCCTGTCTGCCGCCGAAGCCCTGCAAACCGGAAGACTCCCCAAAGTGGTCCCTATTTTTCAATTTGCATTTTTACGTGCTTTCGGACTGCTAGGTTGGCAGAAGCTGGGACAAGTAACGGGAGCTAACTCCATTATGCGGTGCTAGGGATTCGAACCGCTGAACTGCCGATCTTCTGATCACAAAGCTCAGCATCTTAACCACTGACCCACTGTGTCCTCTTAAGTCAGTCTAATGTGCTTGTAACAAACAAAGAAGTCCAATAAGCTCAGCATCTTAGCCACAGAGCCACTGCATCCCTGTTATTAAAATATAGACATATATGAAAAATGTATTATTTTAGCAATTTCCATGAAGGGAATAACATGCCCTCATATTGATCGAAGAGAAGCCAGTTGGGAAGGTCATAAATGATGATCACATGATCCCAGAACACTGTAACTATCATAAATATATACTGGCTTCCAAGCACCTAAATTCTGATCACATGATGGCAGGGATGTTGCAATGGTCATAAATGTAAGGATTGGCCATAAGTCACTTTTTTTCAATGTCATCATAACTTTGAACATTGGCCAAATGAATAAGCAGAGGACTACCTGGAAACTGAAAGCATGGAATATCAAAAGTCTATAATTCTGTGCTTCGAATGCATTAGGGTAGCATTTTTTAAAAAAATTGTCAATAAAGCCAATTGAGTCAACAATTGGAAAGAGCCACTCATTTCATCTGGATTAGTCCTGAGTTAGTTTTTTTATCGTGTTTTGATTGCATTGTCCACAATGATGGTATTTGCAAAGCAATAGAAGCCTTGCATTTTGCTTCTTCTTTTCTTCGTGTTCTTATCTTACTTCCCCATTTCTGCAGCTAGAATTGTCTAAATTTCCTAGGAAGAATATATTCGCCTTAGATAAAGATTGTGTAATTCATTTCAAAGGAATGAAAGAAAAGGAAATATAGTCAGATATATGAGCTTTAGAACAGCAAAGCTAAATTAGCAAAAAAAAAAATAGTTTCAGAAATTATGAAATCAAAGTTTGGAACAAGGGCTTACACAAAAGGTTACTGAAAACTTTTTTTTTTTAAATCACTCCCTCTCAATCCATCTCACTCCCACCAATGCTTAATCCATGCATGGAAATATGACTGACTACATGGAAAATATATATTTTTTCCTTGACACCTGGCGTAAATGTTTATTGTGCATAACACAGCTACTGCCACATGCAATCTGGAGACATAAAAGTATGTTCAGAATCTGCTTGACACGTGATTTGCTCAACAACTCTTACATTGAACAAATGCAGCTCGGGAGGAAATATTTTGAACTCCAAACTTTGGAGCTGATTGCTGAGTAGGCATCAACACTTAATACAGGTTGGTTCAACAGTTCATTTAGTGACCATTTTGAAGTTACAACAGCACTGAAAAAAATGACTTATGACCCTTTTCCCCACTTATTGTCAAGGTTCCAAGTAATAGCCTCATAGAAAGCAGAACTCCAAGGCAGGCGGATTCTTCAAAGAACAGTTTTATTGGAGATATCATATTGGCACAAACGGGTGAAAACCAACTCTGAAAGTTCCTGCGGTTTTCATCTGATTAAAAAGTGAAAGTTCCCCCTTCCCCCAAATAATCAGTCACAATGTCAAATCAAGGTGCTGGCTGGTTGCTTGGTAACCGGACTCCTCCTCTCCCCAACCACCTGTTGGAATATCCTTGGTTCCCACAGGAAACTATTTTGTTTTGGCTACAAAACCCCCATCTAACTATGTTCCCTATCCCTTCTTCGCATTGTGGCAACCCTGAAGCCTCCAAAATGGCCCCAGCCAGGTTTGCTTCAGAGTTGACACTTATGACCATTGCAACAGCCCCGTGGTCATGTGAACAAAATTCAGACACTTGGAAACTGACTCATATTTACGACTGTTTAAACGTCCTGGGGTGTTGTGGTTAGCTGGCAGCAGGTGCGGACGGCTGAGGAGACCGAGAACTCAGTTGAGGGGCCAGGACCTGGGAATGGACTGCTGCCTTCAGAGATTGTGGGGGCTGGCAGCAGTGATGAGGAGGTTCCCGAGGAAACTGTGCCGAGGATTGCTCATAGAAAAGAGCAGTTACAACACCACGGGCGATTCGGGAGTAAGGCTGCGAGGTAATGGCCCCTCCTTCAAGAAGATAAAAGCCAGCTGTGAAACTAACCTTCTTTGCAGAAGGCAAAGACGTTTTGAAACTCCAGCCTCATGGATATTCCAGTATCCTGAGTTTGTATTTGAAGATTCTTATTTTGCAAATTATTTCTTGTCTGTTATCTTTTGGCAAGTCTCACACAGTTTGGCAAGACTTGTGCTTATCACAGCTAATTATTTTGTAAAAGCATTACAAGTTTTCTGTTCCTTTTGGATTGTGTTTGATTTATTGAAAAAGGGTGTGGGTCAGAACACGGGGTTGTTTGGTCACATTTTGTGACAAGCAAA